CCAATTTGCAGTCCCACCAACAATGAACCAGTGTACCCTTTTCCCCACATCCTCGCCAACACTTGTTGTTATTTGACTTCATAATGGCTGCCATTCTTACTGGAGTGAGATGGTTTTGAATCAAACTGTGAAATATATCAAAATAGATGTAATGTTTTGAACTACCAACAATAAAAAAAAATGAAAAAAAAATGTAAAGTCCTGGGCTGGGGCTGTAACTCAGTGGCAGAGAGCTTGCCTCACGCGTGTGAGGCACTGAGTTTGGTCCTCAGCATAAAAACAAATACAATAAAGACATGCTGTCCATCTACAATTACAAAAAAAAAAATTTAAATGTAAATTCCTGGGCCCCACCCAAGCCCTACTGAATCCAGAATTCTGGGTTTGGAACCAATTCATCAGGTCTCCAGGTGATCCTGTTGATTCTCAAGTTTGAGAACCACTGCTCTAGGAAATTAGAATTTAATCCCGCCCCTCCAATTCATGAGAAGGTTTGCACTAGTACCTTTAATGTCTTCTGCTTCCAGTTAATAGAAAATGAAAAAAAAAGAGTCTAGATACCCAACTCTATTTTGTAAAAGTCTCAGCACAGAACTGACAGATATCACTTCCACTCATATTCTAGTGGCTATAACTTATCTTTTTTCTGCCCAGTGGTGTGCTGGAGCCAGCAACTTTAGCTCAGGAGAGCTACTATTAAGTTTGCAGGCATTTTGAGAGTCATTTGGCATTATATTAGTAAAAAAAAAATATATATATATATATATATAACAACTTAAAATTTGCAGCACAGAAACACAAACACTAAAATCAGAGAACCATTTGTTGTACATACACCAGCACACCGCTAGCCATTAACAGTTGACTGACACCATTGGAAGTTCTGCAGCTGAAATGACCTTTCAAACTTGTACTGATATGAGCCAAATTGGCCACATCTTTATATCCTTACTTTGATCAGTCATCATTGAGTGAAGCCAGAGCATGTGCTTGGAGGACACAGCTCTCTGCAGCTGTGAAAGTCTCTGAAGGGACTCACAGCTGAAGGATGTCTTCCTACCATCTAGGACAAGAGCATTTTCTTGTGGGGTCTCTAGGTGGTGTATCCCCATGTCCTCCACAGCTTCTTTCTCCAAGAAATTCTTATATAATTGAGTTAGTGCATTAGGACTATTTTTAAAGTTCTCTGGATAATTCTAGTATACAGCACCCCTAGATATTATTTTAAAGAGTCAAGTCAAGTGCTGAGGACTGTTTTTTGCTTGTTTCATTTTTTTGTTTTGTTTTGTTTTACTAATGTTTGCACTCTACTTTTTTAAAAAAGAAATTGTGCCTGGAGGAAGACTTTATATGCAGCAATCAATAAGTATTTGTAGGGTAGTTGGCTAAAATAATTATAATTACATTGAAAGGAAATTTACCCAGAAAAGTTAATTTAGAAGTAAAATATAATAGAAATCCAATAATATATTCATAAAATGAATTAACTTCAGGAATTAAGTTATTGTCAAGGTGATAATCAACTAACAATTCAAATAATGTGTGCTTTTCTATTAAAGAAGAAGCTGGAAGATCTGAGCACTGAGTGGGAAGCAGTAAACAATTTACTTCAAGAGCTGAGGGCAAAATACCCTGACCTTGTTCCTGGACTGACCCCTATTGGAGCCTGTAAGTATACTACATCCCATTCTCTTTTGCTTTAGCTGTTTGCTCAAAAGCATAACTATGTAGTGATCCCTGAGTGAAAGGGAAAATTATTTTCCAATTCTGCAGATAGGGATAAATCTTGGTGTTATTTGCTATGCAAAAGGTCTTAGAGTAGGTTCTTTGGAAAATGACTGTGATTGGAAGTGTTATATGGCAAAGGTCTATTGAGAAGCATTCTTTGAAGATAAAACTATAGAGGAGGACAGAAAGGAATGGGAAAGGCTGAAACGTGATGTGGTTTTAACAGAAAACTCAGATTATTCAGGAGCCCTAAATCTAGGTTGACTTTGGAGAGCTGCACTGAATTGCAAGGAGAGGTCTCACCTTTGTATTCCTGATCCAGCCACAGCCATTACCTCTGGGATACCTTCTGTAAGCAGTAGAGAACTTGGAAAAGCACTTTTCTGAGGCTGGAAGAAATTCCTAGACAGAAAAAATGATAAACAACCAGTATTCGTATCTATCATCCAAGAATGGATGTTTTTCAATCAAAGTGAAGCACCAGAATATCCACTAATGCTAAGTCCACAAGAATTCCATTTGAATGAATTCTGTATCATTTATACAATGTCTTTTGAGTATGACTTAAAAAATCACAAAAACCCACATAGGCATGTTAAAATCTCTCTGTTCCATTTGAAACTGACCTCTTTTGGGGATAGGGAGAACTGGGGATTTAACCCAATGGCATTTTAGCACTGAGCCACATCCTTAGCCATTTTCTTAGTTTTTATTTTGAGACCAGGTATTTTTAAGTTGTTTACAGCCTCACTGAGTTACTAAGGCTTGCAATGAACTTGTAATCCTCCATCCTCAGCCTCCCCAGCCACTGGTATTAGAGGCTTGTGCCACCACACCTGGCTAAAGCCAATTTTAAAAGGTCTTCCATTTTTGTTTCAAAAAAAAAGAAAAGAAAAAGAAAAACTTTAAGCTATGACTACCACAAGCCATCTTAAGAGAGGAAATTTCTTCATTTTCCTAGAGCTTCTGTTTTTCCTGCAAATTCTGAGTTTATTTCACTTCTTATTCAGTCGTTAATAGAAAGTATACATAAAATCTCAAAGCAATCTCAGTGCTGGCTTTGATTCTCAGGAAAGAAGCCAGAAAACTTATTTGCTGTATAAATTCTATAGTGAGGCAGAACTAAAAACATGTTTGGGTGTTTTGTTGTTGTTTTGCCTTGTTTACTTTCCAAAGATCAAATAATTGAAGTATAAAAGCATGGTGACTGGTTCCTTAGGTGAAGTTGATTTTTATTTTATATCAAGTAGAAATATACAAAACATCCAGGGTTGCATAGTCATAATTCAATAGAAGGCATAAATAGTGGTTGTATTAAAAGAGGCCATACAAACTGAGGATAGCATATTTCATGTACCCCAGAAGGCATAAATAGTGGTTGTATTAAAAGAGGCCATACAAACTGGGGACAGCATATTTCATGTGCCCCCTGGGGTTTCTGAGCAGTCATCAGAGGTTCATTTAATGACATTGGAGACTTGAAAAAGATGTACAAGCGTTATGTTTTTTTCACCAACATGGGATGCTAAAATTTCTATATCAAGTTTATATTTAATTATGTGAGGTTTATTCCTTTTTATGAGCTGTAATTTTTGGTTCTCTCACATATGCATAATTTGTCCCTATATAATCATTTATTAGTGTTTGTTTTCTAGTTGTCTCTGGTACATTTGGCTTCAGACTCTGTAATTCTGTGAAGATATTGTGTTCAGTGACTTTTTGATCAGTTTGTTGAATTCTAAATTTAGGGATTTATGCCTTCCTTTAAGGCACTATACACATGGTAGCAAGGTTCAAAAGCCAGAGCACCAAAATCTTTTTAACATGTAATATCCTTAAATGTAATGCTGATGTTTGTAATGGAAAATACCAAGCTCCAGTTTTGATTTCCAGCAACATGAGTATTTCATTAACTCCAGTATTTAATAGAGTAACTTCTATGTATTGGGCATCAGACTAAAACACCTCAGGTCTACCGAGTCACAATCTGCCTTTTCATAGAATCTCCAGGTAATTTGTGTGCACTCTAAATTTGAGAAACAGTTATAGAGAACAAGGAATCAGGATATGAGGGAAAGGGAACTGAGATGAGGGCATAATTGTCTAAAGTGTGGTCAGGTGAACTATTGCATTAAGAGAACATTTGAGAGTATCACAAAGGTTATGTAAGTGAAGCAGTGAGCCATGTGTACATCTGCAGAAAAGATTTCAGGTAGAGAGAGAACATCTAGAGCAAAGGAATTAAAGTAGTAGCAAGATGAAGGAATATCAAGGAGACCAATGATACTAGCAGAGAGTAAGGTAAATAGTCATGGAAGCAGTAAGAGTGTCTTTCAGGGATCCTTTACTACCTCTTCCCCTCCACCCAGTGAAGACCCCCCATCCCAGTGGCTCCTTGCTTTCCCACCACTTGCTCCATGTTGCTGCCAGTAGGGAGATTATAGGTGTACTCTCAGTCCCAAGCTATTGTTGATAGCTGGTGGTGTTGTAGCCAGAGCTGAAAAACAACAACAAAAAATTATTTAAAAAAGGAATTTTCTCAAAAGCAGAGGCAAACTGACACAGAGCTGGGCATAAAGTCAAAATGTTAAACATACAAATGTTGAATGAAAAGAATCAACAGGGAGTCAGAGCCAGAGCTGCTTTATTCAAATAAGACTTTTTTTCTTCCATGTGGTGGTTTAAACATTAGAATTAAGAATTGTTTGTATTCCTGACTTTGTGACACTTACAAAGTTAATCTGAAATAAATACAATATAAAAATCTAATTTGTAATATGGTTTTGATATATGATGATTATTTCATGTACTATATTACAATAAAATAGAATTTATAATTCATCATAATGCCTTTCCATTGTGCTCCTACTATTGCATGCATAACTTCTTGTACATTTATATCTTTCTTCTCAAAAATAATTTCAAGGTACATATGGCTATAAACAACTTTTTAAGTGGTGAGCAGCCCAAGGTTTGGAAGGGAAATAGTTAGATTAAGGACATACAGCTGGAAAGAAAAAGAACCAGGGTTCCAATTCAAGTGTATCTAGCTCCAAAGCCAGTGTTTTGTTTTATTGCTGTGCCTTGTACTATCTCTCTGTCCAAGAGCCTAATGGAAATTCTAGATAGAGAGACAGGTAGCCTGTAGTTAATCTAATTTAACTCACTCTTGGATGTATGGGAAGTAAAAGTGATATGTAGTTTTGTTTTTTCTACATAAGGAGTAGAAGAAATCAGTTTAGTCTGAATTTCTTAGAAGCATAGAACTCTGAACTTGGAGTAATCATTGAAGTTATCATCCAGTTGAATATTTTTCTTTTGTATGTGTGGACACTGAGACCCAATGTGACTTTTGAAAAACACTAAAGCAAGCTCCCTTGTGACTATTTACCTAAAGTATATAATGTGATGCAGCAGTTCTGCTTGAGCTGCATAAATTGTTTAAATTTGCAGGACAATGAACATGCTGGAAACAAACTTCTGCAATTTTTGTCCCTTGGATACTTGGGTGTAGCAATTATCTATTGTTGCATAAAAGCACCCCAAAACTCAATGACTCAGAATTATTTGTTGCTCATAATTCTGTAGATCTGTGATTTTTTTCCCTGTGATTAGATAGTTAATCTGATTGCCCTGATTGGTGTTATCTATGTGAATGTCATTATCTGGCAACTGAACAGGATCTAGATGGTCTGAAGTACTCATACTCAGGTATCTGACAACTCTTGGGTAGAGAACCTCAGTCCTTCACAAAGCCTCTCATCCTCCAGTAGGCTAGACTAGGGCTTTGTTATATGATGTTCTCAGGGCAGCCTTCCAAGAGAAGGATGGTGGAAGGCCTCTTGATGTTTATACTTTGAAATTTATACATTATTTCTGCTACATTCCATTGGTCAAAGCAAGGTCAGCCTGGATTCCAGGGGATGTGAAATTACTTCATTTCATGAAGGTAGAATTGTAGTGTCACATTGAAAAGGGCATGCAGACACTACTAGGACAAGAGGCTTTATGGTAGTTCTCTTTATGCACAAACCACTACATTGGGGGAAGGAGTGAAAAGTGGACATAGAAATGTTGGTCTGCATCCAATACTCTGTCAGTGGCTTTCAAATTTTACCATCCATTAAAACCACCCATTTCTGATTAAAGCAAGATTGTAAGGCTTCAAGCCCAGAGTTTCTGATTCAGTAGATCTGGGGTAAAATTTGCACCTATAAAAAGTTCCCATGTGATATTGATGCTGCTCATACAGGGACTACATTTTGAAAACTAGCACCATGGGTCTATGGCGGGTGGGGAAGAAGGAGATCCTCTCTACTGCTGTGTGCAACTGAATGGGACTCCAGTGGGATCCAGTACTATTAATGTCATAGGGAACCACTTGTTATTTCAGCACCTTCAATCCCTTCCTCCCCCTACCAAGAGTTTTGTAATGTGGAAGTTCAAGGTGGTGGATAGCAAATGAACTAGGCAGTATTTGCCCAGCCAAGAACCGTGGGAAGATAAGCATACTTATATGAAGTTTCTCTAGATAAGCTAATAAACATTAAGCTAGTCAGGACTTTGCATGGGTCTGAAGGCCTGCGTGACAGATGGAGGCAAAGAGCCAATAAATCTGGTTGTAAATGTCAGTGTGAATCCTTTCTTATCCACAAGCTGCTGGGCCTGAGAACACTCATGTTCTATAGAGCCCCATTTAGCATTTTTGAACAAAATTGCATATAGAACATTTGTAATGTGAATATTCCAAATCAGGATATTGATTCAAATGTCTTAGAGTAATAGCTATGAAAGTAAATTGCCATTTGTATAGAGATATACAGAAATGCCAGTTAATAGAAGATTCTAGTTGATTAAATGCTGGTAAAATCATGTCTTCCTGTAATTAATTTTGACAAGAGAGCAAGTCTCAAGGGTAAATAGGGAACGATAGCATTAGA